TCATGCAATTTAAAAGGGATTACTGCACATTAGCAGCATATGACAACAAAAACGGCTTGTCCTCATCGGACATATATTATCACACCAAGTATGAGGCGAACTGTGCTTGCACAGAGGAGTTGGTCTTGCTTTACTTAATATGGCACTCACTCATTGATGAGCACACTAGGGATAGATGAAATAAAATAATTACATATCTCTATCCTTACAGGTGAGGCAGTGTGGTGTAGTGGTTAAGAGCGGTAGTCTCGTAATCTGGGGAACCGGGTTCGCTTCCCCGCTCCTCCACATGCAGCTGCTGGGTGACCTTGGGCCAGTCACACATCTTTGAAGTCTCTCAGCCCCACTCACCTCACAGAGTGTTTGTGGTGGGGGAGGAAGGGATAGGAGTTTGTTAGCCGCTTTGAGACTCCTGAAGGGGAGTGAAAGGCGGGATATCAAATCCAAACTCTTCTTCTTCTTCTTTATTGTAAGAGTGAATGCTTTTAAAATACTAGGCACATGCCAGTCAAAGTTGAGCACACTTCAAATCCAATGATTTTGCTGAAGTTAAGGGCACTCCCATTGGAACCGATAGAGTTTAATTCTGACAGGTTTGTGTCCATAGTTTGTGCTGTTTTCTTTTTCATTTGGACACACTGACGTTTTTAAGGAAGGCTTTGGAAATTGTATTTAACATGGGTTGTGTGTGTTTTGTATGCTTGCCCTTAAAATGGCTATTTGCATCGAGTGCAAGGAACAGGACTTATTAGAAGTTCAATAAAATGTAACCATTTAAAGAGCTGAGCATATGAAAACATTTAAAACTTGCTTTGGGAAGCAAGTACAGCAAAGTGTTTATGAAGCTGAGTGGCGTAGAGCTAATAGACAGCTATTTGAAAAACAGCTGGGTATATCACATTAATGAAAATATACCCCAGTGGAAAGTGAAATGAGATGTTTGCTGGGATTTTAAGGTATTAGACGTGAGACAGGAAGACTGGTGCTCATTGTTATGCTTGTAGCAGTTACAATAGGCTTTTCTAAAACTTTTATAATCCAATATTCAGCCTTAGCTAATGTTTATTGGGTTTATTAAGAAAGCAGACTTGAAAAACATCTGCTATGTTAAAAAGTATAGCGTGTATCTATATCAGTACAGTTATAGGGTTGTGTCCAACGCATCAGATTTTCACTTGCACTTCCTCATCTTATCCTCTCCCCTGCAGCCCCCTTAAAATGTGCTCCAGAGGGGTGGGGGGCCTCTCCCCAAGCAGTGTTCAGGGGTACATGGGAAGGGAAAGTCCCATTCATGAGGAACTGGATGCAACCCATAGACCAATACTATTTTATCTGTTTCCTTAAACATCTCCTGAAATCTCAAACTATGAATCTGGATCCATTCCAGTCCGGCTTCCGCGCTGGTCATGGGACCGAGACAGCTCTGGTTGCCCTAACAGATGATCTTCGTAGACAGCTGGATCGAGGCGGGTCGGGGCTGCTGATTCTTCTAGATCTGTCAGTAGCTTTCGACATGGTCGATCATGAACTCCTGGACCACCGCTTTGCCGATGTGGGGATCCAGGGCACAGTCCTTCAATGGCTGTGCTCGTTTCTCTCTGGTCGGGGACAGAGGGTGGTGCTTGGGGGGGAATTGTCATCGCGCCACTCCTTGGTGTGATACTCTCCCCGATGCTTTTCAACATCTTTATGCGCCCCCTCACCCAGCTTGTCCGGAGTTTTGGGCTGGGTTGCCATCAGTATGCCGATGACACCCAACTCTATCTGTTGATGGATGGCCATCCTGACTCGGCCCCAGACACACTGACCAGATGTTTGGAAGCTGTGGCTGGATGGTTACGTGGGAGCCGGTTGAAGCTAAATCCTTCGAAGACAGAGGTCCTGTGGCTGGGACGGGACGATATGGGATTGGGAGGGCAACTCCCATCTCTTGCGGGGGCGCAATTAGTGCCAGCACCGTCCGTTAAGAGTTTGGGTGTAATCTTCGACACCTCCCTTTCCATGGAGGCGCAGAATGCAGCTATAACAAAGGCGGCATTTTTCCATCTCCGCCAAGCTAAGCAGTTGGCTCCTTACTTCTCTCGCCCTGAACTAGCCACTGTGATCCACGCGACGGTCACCTCCAGACTGGATTATTGTAACTCGCTCTACGTGGGGCTGCCCTTGAGACTGACCCAGAAACTCCAGCGGGTGCAGAATGCTGCAGCGAGACTCCTTACGGGGTCTTCGCTGCGAGACCACATCTACCCGGTGCTATACCAGCTGCACTGGCTCCCTGTGGAGTACAGGATCAGGTTTAAGGTGCTGGTTTTAACCTTTAAAGCCCTATACGGCCTAGGACCCTCGTACCTACGGGACCGCCTCTCCTGGTATGCCCCACAGAGAAACTTACGGTCTTCAAATAAAAACATCTTGAAGCTCCCAGGCGACAGAGAAGTTAGGCTGGCCTCAACTAGAGCCAGGGCTTTTTCGGCTGTGGCTCCGATCTGGTGGAACACTCTGTCACAAGAGACTAGGGCCCTGCGGGACTTGACATCTTTCCGCAGGGCCTGCAAGACAGAGCTGTTCCACCAGGCCTTTGGCCAGGGCACAGCCTGACTCCCTCCCTCAGCAATCTCCGCGGAGCTCCGGCCCAATGGTTGCCAGTGGCTTGATTTGAATTTATTTTATAATGAATGATTTTAGAGTGTTGTTTGTGCTGTACTTTTGTACTTTTGTACTGTTTTATTGTTGTTAGCCGCCCTGAGCCCGGCTTCGGCTGGGGAGGGTGGGATATAAATAAAATTTATTATTATTATTATTATAGTTGCCAGTTATTTATTTATTTATATTATTTCATAAAATGCACACATCACCTGATTGTAAAAAAATAAAACAAACCCAAAAAACAAAACCCTCAAAGCGGTTGACACAAAGAAATAATGAATGATGTGTGAAGCAAGAAAGAGAATGTGACTATTTGGGTACTAGCTGTATTCCCTTCGAAGGGTGAAATGTCTGAGCAAATGGGCAAATTTCTTACAAGTAGCACCAAAAAGTTGGTATAACATAGTGGCTAAGCGAATGGCTCTGCCATAAATTTGCTAGGTGGCATTATTCAAATTTCCGTTTTCTTATCCTTTGGTTACTGATAGGCAACAATTTAAAGAGGGCTACTCTAAGGATTAAAGAGATAAATTAGATGAAATACTTGGAACACTATATAGGTATATTACTATTAACTTTTAATTACTAAAGGTGTATGAGGTAAACATTTCAGTGCACACCAGAGTTGTTCTGTAGTTTTCCATAGCTTCCTCTATTAAGTACCCAGATTGCTTTGTCAACTCTATAGTTGACAAAGAAGTTTGGGGTATTTGTGTGAGAGCGGCTGAATGGGAAAATGCCTGTGGTATATCCTTGCTATTTTTTAAATTTATCCTTTCTTTCTGTAGTATATGAGCCAAAGTCCCTCAAAGTAATTGAACCATACTGCTAAATAATGGAGTCACACTTTCAAATACTTCCCAGAAAACAGACCTTTTTATCCTTTCCCTTCTCAGGTACCTTAATAAGCTGGCTGATATGAGATTTATTTGCATCTTTTCTACCACTTGCAAGATAAGCTCTTCGCTGGGCATTGGAATCTCTTCCATGTATTCAGTGCTCAATGGAAATGTGTACAGTGAGGGACAGTGTGGTTTCTGGAAGTCTTACACCTGCACACTATGGCATGACAAGCTGTTTTCAAATATGCTGTCCTACAGAACTCACATGGGACGTGGGTGGCACTGTGGGTTAAACCACAGAGCCTAGGACTTGCCGATCAGAAGGTCGGCGGTTTGAATCCCTGTGACGGGGTGAGCTCCTGTTGCTCGGTTCCTGCTCCTGCCAACCTGGCAGTTCGAAAGCATGGCAAAGTGCAAGTGGATAAATAGGTACCGCTCCAGCGGGAAGGTAAACGGCGTTTCCGTGCGGTGCTCTGGTTCGCCCGAAGTGGCTTAGACATGCTGGCGACATGACCCGGAAGCTGTACACCGGCTCCCTCGGCCAATAAAGCGAGATGAGCACCACAACCCCAGAGTCAGCCACGACTGGACCTAATGGTCAGGGGTCCCTTTACCTTTACCTTACAGAACTCACATATGAGCTGGTAGCACATATTTAGGGTCTCCAGGGTTTAGAGAAGAACCTCCTCCTGAAACTTCAACTATTATAAAATCCTCCAATAACTGATCTACGAGACCAATAATCAGACCACAGCTGATTAGAAAACAGTATCCTTGAAGAAATGTGTCTGAGGTACATTTTATCATATGTAGTGGACTTGTAGAGTAGCTAAGGGATATTAGGAGATGATGCATAATGAGATAAAAAAATATTTAAGAGGTCTCTCCCCAAAATACCAGAATCTTTTCTTCTAGGGATAATTGGACCAGATGCACCAAAGAGTCAAAAGAATTTGTTTATGTACGTGACTGCAGCAGCGAGAATATTATATGCCCCCAAACCACGGGAGGAGGCCGTACCCACGAAAGGGGATTGGCAGTTGAAATTGATGGAATATGTAGAATCAGCAAGTTTGACTAGTAAAATTAGAGAACAAAATGAGGCAACCTTCAGGGAGGATAGGAAAATGTCTGTAGATTATTTAAAAAAAATAATACTGTAAACATGTTAGTAGGTTAGCAGGTATGGAGTAAGTTTAGCAGTAAAAGTTAACTTGAGAATAAAGTTGAGAAAAGAAGGTGTTGATTAACTATAATACGCAGCAGTAAAAGATAACCATGGAAGGGTAGAAAGGAAGTCATTTTTTTGATTGAACTTTTATTGGAAAATGTATGATTAATTGTATTTCCGCCCTGAAAAATTATATTATTTTTTTTAAAATAGAAAGGCATCTGATGGTTAAATATTTTTCAACTGATATACTAAATGTGACCATAGCACATCTAAGATGCCACACATATTCAATAATGTGCTATGTTACCTATATAAAGGAACAAAAGAACTGGGCTTACCTGCTCTCAGCGGTGGCGTTGTTTTCCAGCTGTTGGATGAGAAGTTTTGCTATGGCTGTGAAACTGTTGCTCATACGATAAATGTCTCTGCTCTGGATGCCCAGGATATTGGAGAAGGTGTCTGTGATGTGCTTGATCTCCAACAGAAGAATATGGTGAAATGAATGCTCCATGTTGGCCAGCTGATTAACCAAGTAGATCAGGCAGATCCTGGCTCTTTCCTATTCAGTTGAGAAAAAGATGGTTTTATAAAGTGAACGCTGCTAGTTTCAGACTACTTTACCAGAAAAATAAAATCCACAGAACACTTGTGGGGGAGGAATTGGAACCACTTGAGCATTTGCGTGAAAAATAAAAATCTCAAGTACAGCTGGGATAAACATGTTACACAGACTTAACGAAAGTCTTTGTTTAAATAACGCAAGCAAAATGTGTATAAAGATAGAAGGGGGAGCACTGACCCCTTTCAAATTCTCTAGTGTCTTGTATATTGTACACAGGGTAAATAAATGAGGAAAGTGATTGACAACTATAAATCCTAATTAGGGAATGAGGTTGTAGTGCTCTTCTAGCTTAGTAAAATTGGAAGAAGAGGCCAAGAAGAAAGGAATACGATTCCAATGGGTGAACAGGCCAATCTAGATCAGTAGGAACTGCCAGAAGTACAACATCTGTAAAAGAAAAGATGGGCAGTCTATGCCATACCCTCGAACATTTCTCCGATGAAAATGAGGACGTCCCATTCCATAATAATAATTTACTATTTATACTCCACACATCCTACTGGGTTGCCCCAGCCACTGTGGGTAGCTTCCAACATATATAGAAACAACAAAACTTTAAACAATTAAAAAAAACCCTTCCCTATACAGGATTGCCTTCAGACAGCTTGGAGGTTGGATAACGCCATACCCTCCAACATTTCTCCAATGAAAATAGAGACATCCTAAAGAAAAGAGGGACATTCCGGGGTCAAATCGGAAACCGGGATGGCTTCTCTAAATCAGGGACGTCCCTGGAAAATAGGGACACTTGGAGGGTCTGCTATGCTTGTTTAAAGGTAAAGGGACCCCTGGCTGTTAAGTCCAATGGCGGACGTCTCTGGGGTTGCAGCGCTCATTTCGCTTTACTGGCCAAGGAAGCCGGCGTTTTGTCCGCAGTTTCCAGGTCATGTGGAAAGCATGACTAAACTGCTTCTGGCGAACCAGAGCAGCACATGGAAACGCTGTTTACTCAGATGTCATTCCCAGAATGGGCCTTACTCCCAAACAGTATACATAGGATTGTGGCTTAGATTTCCTCTCCAGTATCAGCCATGAAAACCTAGCAATAAGCAGGGCCAAGCTACATGTTACACAGGAGATCTGTAGGTGGATCTCCTGGCATATTTTCTTTTACTCAAATGGAAACATGGGGAACTGTCAATTTTGTCATGCAGCGGCTGTTTTCCCAATCAGGAAATACAGGAACAGCTGCTTATATATAGATAGTGATTTGTTCCAGGGGGTTTCATGAAGTTGTGAAAAATGGCCCACCTACCTCCTAATGGGAGTCGACTCCAGTGTTTTGAACTCAAAGACAGTTGGGGCAGCCAGCTTTTTGATAAAAACAACAACACATGTGGAGAATAAATGAGCTGTGGCCAGAAGAAGCTACCGTAAAAAGTTTGACAACCCCAAAAGTCTTTCAGCTCAAAACCCTGAAAATGAATCTCATTAGGAAGTAGGCAATATTGAAGTATGAGTACAAGAAAGACCTTGCCAATTCATTCCTCAGAAACAGCAGAGAGGACATAGAATATAGATCTCAAGAAGTGGGCTCAAAAATTAGAAAGTTTGCATTTAAAAGGTGGCTGATATATTTGGAGTGTCATGATTTTATACTACAGTGGTACCTCAGGTTACATACACTTCAGGTTACATACGCTTCAGGTTACAGACTCTGCTAACCCGGAAATAGTACCTCGGGTTAAGAACTTTGCTTCAGGATGAGAACAGAAATCGTGCCCTGACGGCGTGGCAGCAGCAGGAGGCCCCATTAGCTAAAGTGGTGCTTCAGGTTAAGAACAGTTTCAGGTTAAGAACGGACCTCCGGAACGAATTAAGTACTTAGCCTGAGGTACCACTGTACCCATCTCTTCACTTTTTCTTTAGGGTCAGAGAGATCAAGACATAAACAAGACCTTAAGTAATATTTAAAGAACAGTTCTGTTTCCCAGACAATATCTGCAGTAGACTCAAGAGGGCCAGGAAGCATCATCCAGCCGTTTCCTACTTTGATCTAGCTGGCAGAAATCCAGAAGTGCTGAAATTCTGCTATGCATCTAGAGGAAATTGTCAAGGAATAATGAACTATACCATTATAGGATATGGAATTAATATGCACACACGTGCACACAAAAAGTCTATAAAAAATTCTCATCGACTTAAAAGCAATATCTTTAGCAAGACCAAGATCAGAAGTCTCTTGTAAAAATAATGCTTGCATTTTAGTTACCATTGTTATTGTAGGTTTGGTTTTTGAGTGGGTAGGCTTATGTTCCTTATGGGAAGCAGATTTTCTATTTTTATGGTATACAATTACATTTGTTGACAGGGGAATGATGTTCATATAAAGTGTTGCAACCGCTTAAGCTATTTTATTTTGCTGCATGAAAAAATATAAGGAAACAGCAGAAGACAAATGTGGAGTGACTCTAGATTTATCTTGGTAAAGTTATCGCCACTATTGGGCATTATAAAGGGTTGATAATTCAACTTTGGAGAATTTATCCAACAGACATTGCATTGTAAGATCTTTGCTAGAGGCAGTGGCGGAGCTTCATGCAGGTGGGGGTGTGGCACGCATCCCAGGGGCGTGGCGCACCACCAGCAGGGGCGTGGTGCCCAGCACGGGGGGGGGGGCAGCCACGATAGCACCCCACCGGGATAGTGGTGCCTGGGTCACTGCGCTCCCCCTGCCCCCATCTTCCTCCGACAGTAGCTAGAGGTTCCTACAAGATCAACCAAATTCAACAGCAAGTCATGACTAACTTGGAAGAACATACTGTATGTACTCGAGTATAATCTGACCCGAATATAAGCCGAGGCACCTAATTTTAGCACAAAAAAATGGGAAAACTTATTGACTTGAGTATAAGCCCGTTCACTACACCACAAACCTGGTGATGGTGGCAGCGGTGGTGGAGGAGGAAGGAGCAGCCCAAAAGGGCTCTTTTTGGGCCGCTTGTTCCTCCACCGCTGCCTCTGCCGCTCGCAAGAGCAGGCATAGGAGCCGCGGTTGGGAGAGGCACAGGGAAGCCCCTCCCAACCGCAGCTCCTGTGCCTGCCCTTGTGAGAGGCCGGTGGCGGCGGGACCAGCAGCGAGAAAGGGCTCCTTTTGGGCCGCTCGTCCCTCCACCGCGACCGCCCGCCTCACTCGAGTATAAGCCGAGGGGGGCTTTTTCAGCATAAAAAATGTGCTGAAAAAGTCGGCTTATACTCGAGTATATACGGAAGGAAGATCCCTGCTCGTTCAGGCCAATGGTCCATCTAGTCCAGCATCTTGTTCTCACAGTGGCCACCCAGATACCTGTGGGAAACCCTCTAGCAGGAGCCGAGCACAAGAACACTCTCTCCTGATGGTGCAGGGCTCCAAATGGAGGGGTCCATGTCTTTAGCGCAAAACTTCATGCTTCAGACCTTCCGACCCAATGCATAGACGATGGGAGTTAGGGCCAGCAGGGGTTGTGACAGCAAAGTGGGGCAGTGAATTTGTGAAGGGGGAAGAAGGAGGGGGCATCCTATTGCATAATGCACATCATAGATAAAGGGACCCCTGACCATTAGGTCCAGTCGTGGCCGACTCTGGGGTTGGGTGCTCATCTCGCTTTATTGGGCGAGAGAGCCGGCATACAGCTTCTGGGTCATGTGGCCAACATAACTAAGCTGCTTCTGGTGAACCAGAGCAGCACATGGAAACGCCATTTACCTTTCCGCGGGAGCGGTACCTATTTATCTACTTGCACTTTGACCTGCTAGGTTGGCAGGAGTAGGGACTGAGCAACGGGAGCTCACCGGGGGGATTCGAACCGCCGACCTTCTGATCGGCAAGCCCTGGGCTCTACAGGTCAAAGGGGTGGGGGGTGGGAGACAGCCAAGTATGTTTAACCCACTGTTTACCAGACTGTTGCTTCGGACCAAGCCGACAGACAGGCAAAGAGGCCTTACCTCAAGGCCGTACTCTTCTGCAAGAAGAAATCAGAAGAAACCTGGCCACCCCCTTAAATAGGCCAGGAGCAGGTTGGGTGCAGCCCCCGAGCCCCTGTCCCTGATTGGCCTTGTGGGCACTGCCTGTCCATACCTGAAAGGCCATTTGTGGCCAGAGGTAGGTGGTGCCAGGTGTCCATTCCCTCCTCTGGCCATGCCGGAAGATGGCGGCTTCCATGGACCCAGTGCAGCCACGCCATGCAGCAAATGCCACCCACCCAGAGCCCCAGGTGAGCACTTATTTGGGGAGAGGTTCTCAGTGACTTCCCAGAGACTAGCCAATCAGTACTGTGCACAGTCATCTTCTGTGCAGAATTGCGGGGGGGGGGGGCTTTTTTCATCAGAGCTCAACCATGGGGAAGAATCAATGTTTTTGGTCTGAATGAAGTGGGGACATTTTGAAATCACCATCATTATCATGTTACACTTATCTTCTTCCTATAAACAAGGAAGCAGCAGCAAACCAATGCTACTTCCCTTAAACCTGCCTTAAATCATTACTTGTAACAGGCAGGGTGATGTATGAAGAAAATCATAGTAATTTTAAGAAAAAACGCAGGCCATTTGGGGGAAGGATTTCAGACACAGACTCTCCAAGCAAGATGAATCACTGGACTGAATGCAAAGATAAGGAAAAGGTCAGTGGGGTGTCTATGTGGGTAGAAACTATTTTATTGCTTGTATTTCTCAACTGGACACTGCAATAAAAAAGTGACGTCTTTTGCCCTTTTGTTCTCATGCAATGCTTATAACTAGATAATCATGCTTATTATTTTTAATGGGTATTCTAATTATTTGTTTTGCAGAACAACTTCAGCTTTTATACTGCCAGCTGTGTTTCTGTTTAATTCATCTCCAGTCCATTTTCAAATGAATAATAAACAACAACAAAAGACCACAAATTTAGTGGATTTTTTAAAGGATAAAAAGTGGTTTGGATTTATTTCATTTTAAAATATCTCTATCTAATCTTA